TGTAGCCTCCTTCTTCTAAAGTTCTTTTTCTTCCAAGGCCAAGAAGAGGTATCAGGACTTTGACATCTTTGTTCTAGTAATGCACTTACGTTCATATTCCTTAGTTGGGAAATCCTTTTCCAGAAGAATCCCGTTTGGCATTCGCCTTCCTGCAGCAGAGGTCTCCAGACAATGCCAGCTCTCCTCCAGCTGACTGCACCATCTCTTCAAATCCCAACTGGTGCAGAAATGCTCCAATACGTTGCTATGATGGTCTACTCTATAGCGACGAAATGACCCAGACCTTTGCATAGCAACCTGAGTAAATCTCAAAAATAAGATACCGCTTGAAAATAACCAAGATACTAATCGATACATACCAAGTAAATGATTTGAAAAACACAACACATATCGTGTCTGCCCATGAACGCTGGCAAGTAAGCTTTGTTCAAGTCTCCCCTCCAATTGCCATCATGCCTATGTTAGTCTCCCAAACATCCCCAACAGCTGTGGAGGCTCTTCACGGGAGGGCTGAGCTCTGGAATGACCGATGAGAGTCTGAGGAGCCATGCAAGCAACAGGAAGCTCACGGACTGTGTGGCAGACAGATCCAAACACCGATGCTCCAGGCCCTGTGGGCTTGTCTCCCATGTCACGGCGGACGAGGTGGACGCAGCCACGGATGCAGGCCTCACGAGACGGAGGGAAGAGTTGTGCGGCCAAAGAGATGAATCTCAAAGACTTGGGGCCCACTTAATTCTGAAAAAGATTTGTGTTGGTGGCATTAAAGATGCTAAAGAATCTCACCAAATGGATGATTTTGAACAGTGTGGGAAACTGAAGCGATTGGAATCATGGCTCGGTGAGGCTGCTGCAAAAGGAGGGAGGATTTGCTTTTGTAATAACCCGTGATGACCATGACTATAGACAGTCATTTGGAAATACCATACGGGGAATGGCTACAGCTGTGAAGCGAGGCAAGCACTGTCTATGCAAGACACGGCTAGTGCTTTGTTCAGCCAGAGGCCAAAGTGCTTCTGGGGACTTTGCTGGAGGTCGTGGAGGTGGTTTTTGTGGCAACAACGCTGGGCGTGGAGGAAACTTGAGCAGTTAAGGTGACTGCTGGCAGCTGTGATGGTCGCGGCAGTGGCCATGTCTGTGACGGGTTGGTAATGATGGAAATGTTTTTTCAGGTGGTGGAAGCGTGATAATTTGGGCAATCATGAAAATCTGCAAATTCTTCACCCATGAAATAACACTTTGGAGGCAGGCACTCTGGGCCTTATGGTGGTGGAGGCCAGCCAATACTTTGCCAAACTATGAAACCAGGGTGGGCTGTGCTGTGGTGGTCCCAGCAGTAGCTGTTCTTGTGGCAGAAGGTTTCAATTACTGCCAGGAAACAAAACTTAGTGGGGGAGAGCCAGAGAGGTGACATGGAAGTCACAACAGATCTGTGCCCTTGGCCAAGCACAGAGGTGGCAGGGCCTAGCTGCTGCAAAGACATGTTTTAGGCAGTATTCAGGTGTATGGGCAAAAATCTTAAGTGCTGTGTTTGTGACTACTTGCGTAACAGGTTATTTTAGTTTCTGCTCTGTGTGAACTGGAAAGCATTCCAACACAGGGTTTTAACGCAGGCTTTTTTTTTTCCACCCATGCTGTTCATTGCTAAATGTAGTCTGATGCTGCTGCTGAATAAATGTCTTAAAAAAAACACATACAAATAATGTCCTAAGTTCCTTATGGAGAGACAGAGACAGAGACAGAGAGGAGCTGGAGCACTGAAGGACAAATACAAACCTTTTGTTCGTGGCTGTCTCTAGGGAGTATGGGGGAGCTGCAACAGGGACTGATAATTTATTGGGACTTCGGTGATATCTGCAATGTTTTCTTTCTTTTAAACATGACTGGAAGAAATTTGAAAAGTATTAACCCTCGTTAATTCTGGTGTGTTGTTCTTTGCTCTTTTCTGCAACTTTTACATTTCTTAGAAAAAAAAATCTTTTCCACCCATCCCACAGCACTTCTACTTATACCATAAAATTTGCCAGTCTGGCCTTACAATGAACATGTATAATGTTGCAGGGGGGCACGGGGAGGGCTGTGCAACACAGAGAAGACAAGTAGTGACTCTATAGTATCTTACTGTGCTGATGGACAGTGACTAATGGGGTGTGGGGGGGGGGCGACTTGCTGAAGGGGGGAGTCTAGTAAACATGTTCCTCATGTAATTGTACATTAATGATACAAAAAAACCCACAAAACTTGCCAGTCGGCCTCCTCTCAGTTCTGACCCAGGTGTCTGTCTTCCCCACCTGCCTGCAGCTTCCAGAAGCCTGGCTTGATAGCTTTGTGCCCCATGGTGCCCCAGTGAGTCAGGATACATCCGTCTGTTCAACAAGTGCCTGTGTGCAGGGGCTGAGCAAGGGGTGAAGTGGAGAACAAGGCCTTGCCCAGGGCAGTGGGGGGGCCCTTGAGGAATGAGCAGGCAGTTCAGAGGGTGGGGGTTGCATGAGCTGAGGAAGCATCTAAGAGGGGTACCCAACAGGGCAGGGAGCAGTGGGGCCAGAGAGGGAAGGGGCTGGGAAAAGCCCACAGAGATCCAAAGGAGACATGGAGGCAGGCAGATGAAGGAGCTGGGGGAAAGAATATTGTGCAGGAGCTTCATGGTAAGAGACAGGCTGGAGGATCTGAGGACTGGAAGTTCACAGGGGTGGAGCACCGAGGGGAAGCGGGGCAGGAGGGGAAGGTGTGGGCAGAGGTGCAGGGCTCTGTAGCGCAGCTTCATGTTTGGGTGCAGACTCAAGCTTTAAGCCTCAGCTTCCACATCTACAACAGAGGGATTTAAAACTCTACTTCAAGTTGCTGTGAGAATTCAAGGAGGCAGTAAAATGCTTGGCACCTGTTCAGGGTTCAATAATGCTACTGTCTGAGGGTTGAGGGAAAAGGCATGGAGGGATTTTAAGGGGTAGTTCTGATAAGTGCAAAATTGTGTTTTTGCAAAGACCTCAGCAGCAGGTGAAGGACCTGAGGGGTGCCCAGACTTCTCAGCTGTTGCAATAACTTGGGTATTTGCCTTTGTATTTCCACAATTCAGGAGCCATTTCACCATCTTCAGCAGTCGGAGATTAAAAATGAGAAAGAAAAGGAGAAAGTTCCCCAGACAATTCCTATCCATGCAGGCCTCCACTTGCAACACACCTCCAGGTTTCCCTGCCTGGCCGACCCCCGTGGATGCCAACTCTTAAAACAGGTTAACTCTTCAGCGGGCCCTTCACTGCCTGTGACCTAGAGCCAATCAGACAGCGCAAAGCCAGCGGTGGGTGTGGCTCGAGAGCAGGGCGCAGCCGGACATCAGACGCCTACCCAGTTCCACCCTCTGCCTCTGGACAGCCACCAGCCAGGTCCCCTGAAGAGTAACTGAAGGGAGAATTAAGGGACCTTCAAATATTCAGAGTCAGGGGGATGAAGAGGACTTCGGCAGGTCTACCAGGAAGCGACAAGGTCTGTGAATGAAAGCAGACATTCACTCACAATTGTTGACTGAGCTCCTGCCATATATATCAGGCACTATTTCAGGTGCCTGAGGAGCCGGGAGGTCTGAGTGTGTAAGACAGTCCCTGACCTTAAGGAGCTTACATTATAGTGATGAACACATACAGGAGGTGGTGGTTAAGCGCTACAGAATATAAACAGTATCATAAGGAGGATACAGACTGGGAGGAGACACACTTTCAGGAAAAGTGACCTGGGAAGGCCAAGATCTGAATAAAGTGACTGAGGGAGCCCTGCAGAAATGCGGAAGAGCGTTCCGGGCACAGGGGACGGCAACTGAATGTGTTCAAGAACTGCAAAGTTAGTTCTACTCTAATTGCTTCGACCTCCTCAGTGAAATGTGAAAGCAAACCTATCAGCTGACAGTGAGGAGGCAGACGACACTGGAAATTTGAGACTCAAAGATGTCATGAAGGACTCACCCACCACGACCCAGGAAGTTGCTTGAAGAAATAGCAATTTTCTAGAATACTTCTCAAAAAAATACCCAGAAGGAACTGCAGAAATGAGGTTTCCATCACTCAAAGAGGGCAGGACACCACAGAACATTCCTGAATCAGTTTCGACCTGTCCTCTTATTCCTGAGGTCCTACTGATACTAAGATTCTGTGATGGGAGATGCCGAAGAAATAACACTTCCTGGATCACTAGCCTCCCCCTTCTGAAGGCAGAAAAGGTGTACACGCATACTCTTCTCCAGGCAACCGGGAGACCTGACATGCAGAACACGGCTGTCAGGCAGAACGCTCCCCAAATGCACAACTACATGGAGAGAATTCTTTATTGTAGAAGCCCAAGAAGTGGAAGAAGGCCAAGAAGGGAAGTGGGCACTGTTTTTCCTCTGGACAGAGGAAGAACATCCCCAGGAATCACGCTTCTTTCTGGAACATGCCAGTGTGGTGCTAGAGAGCCATGCCCTCAGAGTCATCCTTTACCAGTTTCCACTGGCCAGATAAAGACCTGAGAATCAAGACTCAGACGTTAAGCTCATGTACAGCTGGGAAGGATATGTGGTAACAAGTGAAACCTTCATTGAAATGTGCTCCACCATACTGATACCCCCCCAAGCAGTGTCCTTAGCAAGCTAAGCTCTTATTCCAAATAGGTTTCTGATATTTGAAATGCTTGCTCAGCAGCAATCCTACCCAACTTAAACTGGGTGTGTCTTGGACCTGAGTGAGTCTTGGCTGTTTCCAAATACCAAATTTGCTCACAAGAGATGATTTACCACCACAGCGAAAATTTTAATAACTTCACTGTAGGCTGGGAAGGCCACTCCAAGGTGGAGTTCTGCATATGTTCAGAGCATAAGACTGCCCTTGGAAAACAGTGACCGCTTTGGAAGGGGTAAAGCTCGCTGCTATATGTAACTGTGGAATGGCAATTAAAAACACTTGACCTCATGACATTATGGGTAACATTTTAACTTATTATGAAGCCATACAAATAAATAACAGCCTTGAGAGTCGTTTGAAAGGTTTTCCAAAAAAAAGATTTTATTTTCATTTTCATAAATTAACACACATAACAGTGGGCATTGTAGAGTCACAAACTACCAAACAGAAAAGGAGCTGCAGGGGCATCGTGTATGCCAATGTTACCAAAAATGTACAAATTTCACCGAACTATTGACCAGGATAATATATAAACACTTCAGGCAGCTATTTACTGGCCCAGACCAGCCCAAAGAGATGCTGAGATGCTGAGGCCTCTCGCCAAGAATTCAAATCCACTTCAGCACCAGAGAGGGGCTTGTGAAGACACACAATGAACCAGCATTGAATCTGAGAGGACGCTGTGCTGGACGGCAGGTGACACGGGGACCCTCCCTTTATAATCAAAACAGCCTTTGCCGCTCAGTTTGTGGCTGGATGATAATATTAACTTTGATTTCAGTAAAATGAAACCTTCCTCCCCAGCCAGCTTTTTACGTGAGAAGTTCAGCTGTGGTAGGGAGCCCTTCCCTCGAGGGATCCAGAAGAGGGGAGTCCGCACCTCTGGCCAATTACTTAGACTTTGGATACAGCCACCCACAATGCGTGGGTAAGAAGTCCTTTTCTTGATACTAGGGGAAAAGCTTATGGAAACAAAACAGAACAGGGAATCAAAGAAAGCACCAACTGCATACTTCCTCCCCGGGGTTTTGGGAGAAAAACACCACCGCCTAGAAGTTGGTTTTTCATGGATCTGAATGCACATGGTACTGATTGTGAGATGGAATCCCAGCCTGGAGGCGGGGCGCAGGCCCTGTGCGGCATCAGGCTGCACCAAAGCCCTGGGTCTGCTGCCTCCGACCTGCGCTCCCTGTGCAGCTCTGGGCCTTGTGGGCAGGGGATGAGCCGTGAGGGGAGGATCGTGCCCAGAGGGGAGGACCTGCAGTTCACCTCAAGTTGGCTCTGGCACCCGCACAAAAGACCCTTTCAGGCAATACTGTGACAAAGTGTCAGGATTTTCATAGCTCTTCGAGGAATGCTAAGTTTTGGGATTCACAGCGTGGGTTTCCGAGCTCTTCAGGCTCTGAGTAAGGCAAACGCTACATGTCTTTCACTGTACCTCCCTCAGCTGCAGCTCTTAGAGTAAGGGCAGTGAGAAGTGGACATGATCTGTTTTAACAGGTGATGAGGTACATTTAAACTCATGGAGAAATGAAGTTGGAAAGAATATCAAAGAGGGGCAGGCAGACGGGGTGGGTGTGGGTGGGGTCAAATACAGCTATAAACTAAAAGATAAAAAAACACAGCTGAAAGTTTCAGTGAAAAGCTGATGGGCAGAACTCTAACTGGACCTGAGATTTCTCCTCTCTTTCCCATGTTAAAACACTAAACCTCTGGAGTTGAGTTATAGTTGCGTTAAGTCGTAATAACTATAACTCCCCACCACTTGGGGCAGGAAGTCCCCATACTCGGAAGTTGTACCAACGCCACCCCAGAAGCAGACCTCCTGTAGATCTGGGCAGGTGGCGTGCCAGCAGCAACTAACGTCTCCCATCGTGGGCGGGCACCACAGGCTCCGAGGACCACAGACAGCGCTGCAGCTGGCTGGCCAATGGCGAAAACGCATGTTAACAGAGGCGTGCCGAGCGGCTAGAAGCGGATGCATCCACTTCAGGTGAGCAATCTCAAGCTTGCCTGGGGGAAGGACCCGTGCTGGAGGGCAGGGCAAGGAGTTCAAGGACAGGCAGGGCTGGCCTCGGGCAGTCCCTCCTACTTCCCAGGATAAGGAAGAGCCCAGGCCTCCATTTCCTTCAATCCGCCCTTCCCAGACGCCAGTGTTCCCGCCCCATCACTGTGCCTGGCTCTGTGAGTGCCAGGCCTGCACAGGCAAACTTGAAATTGCATCTCTGTACTGTTGGTGACATCACAGCTGTGCCCACCTCAACTTCAGTCTGCTAGATGACCCGGCTGCCACATCGCTGACTCGTCTACACTGGCAATGGAGCTGACAAACGGGGCTCTGTTGACTCACTGGGAGTTTGCAAGCTGTCCAGCAGGAGCTCCCTAAAAACATGTGTATGAGGGCACAATGCATTACTCACCCCACTCCCCTAAGCAAAAAGACAGAGAGAAGCATTTAGTGTCTAAGGACCCTGTCCCAGGAAGGGAGAGGTACTGAGGTGAAACACAGGTTGTGTCTATACAGTCTGGGCAAAGCGGACGTTGAACGACAATCTGGTTCGCATCATTCAGAGCCAGAGTGGAAATGTGGCTCTCTTTTAATGCAATGTGGCCGTGGCCTTAGAAGCCTCTGTGCATCTCCAGGGGTGTATTTCACTTACTAAATGCTATGTCTGAGGCAGTGGGCCTAGAAGACAGATGTGGCACTTTTTTTTCTTGCTCGTTGTCGGTTTTTCTGCTCCAGTGTGGCATAGACTGTCAACCTGCAAAGGAAAGGCACATAGAGACCCCCCAACCCACCCCGTTTCCCCACCCACTAACAAATGGGGAAACAAAAGAGACCTAGGAGACACATTCCAGGGCGCACCACTCACTCTTCTCTAACGGACTGACTTTGAAAATGTCTCTGGAGTTTTGACAGTTCCCATCAGCAGCTGCTTCCTAGCAGTGGCTCCTATGAGGATGGGAAGAGGTGACCAGTGTCCTGAGGCTGGCTTTAGCATCCACTCACCAGCCAAGGAATGTTAATTCTCTGAATGCTTGTTTTGAGAGAGAGAGAGGAAAAAAGGATGAAGCACAAGGGAAGGAGAGAAGGGGAAGCAGGCGAGGGCACATGAGAATTAAGTGGGAAAGGAATGAAACCTCTGGGCCTGCTGACCACCCAGCACCCTTCCACCCACAGACTCCTACAGGCACAAAAGAAGAGACTCAGCTGACTCTGGCACTCGACAAGATTTCCAGGAGGTCTGACACAGGAGTCCAGAGTACAATGAGGTGCCCCCAGAGAGGGCTAGCCATGGAATCCCGTGATCCCACTGTAAGAACTTATCTTGAGTCTGAACCACAGCTGGTCTCCTCTCTGCTCCCCTCCCCGTACTCCCTCTCTCTTCCCCAGTCTGGGGAGCAGGTTGCTCTGATTGCTGCAAACGCTCTGGGTTAGCTTTTACAACCACTGAGCTGCTGTACCCAACTATGCTACATGCCACCACTTCGGATAAAACCCATTACGGATACACCCAACCTTCATGTTTTTTGAATGATTGGGAGAGAAACCTGTTCTTACTTCCATCATTAAAATAAACACATCTACTTAGTGGGCAAGAATGAGAACCTGGATGAAAAATTGCCTCCTCTGATGAGTTACACTAGACACTGGAGATGGGGAAGGGGCTGCTTGAAACACGTGTGAGTGGGAAAAAGTCTCTCTGTTATCCCACGCCACGCGCTGATAAACTGGGTCAAATGCCTATCATACATTCTACAGACATCTATTGTCCTTCTCCTTGATGTCTTAAAACAAAAGTTTTAAAATCACATTTAAAGGCTCCAAACATGCAGCAATAATACAAAAAAAAAAAAAAAAGGAAATGAAATAAATGAAATTAACATCACAATATTAAAAAGTGCAACTTACTTTGAATGGGGCCTGGGTGGGCTCCTCTGGCACCAGAGACCCACTGTCACAGTGCAGAGAAAATGAAGGGAAAAAGCCACACACACAGACACACACACACACACGCCTGCGTGCACGCACACACACAGACACACACACACACCCAGTTCTAGGCAGATGGACTCAAAGGATTAGAAAACATGACAGCTCATCTTTCCCCAACTACTGAAACGAGCCAGTGAGACCGTGCAGGATGGGGCGCCGGGCCCCCCTTCCCGAGGCCACATCTCTAATCTTGGTCTAGCACCACCGTAAACAACATGGAACTTTCACATGGACGTGCAAATGCTGTGAGTCCTTGGGATCCTAGTGTTACCGAAGGAAGCTGTGTCCTCCCCCTGTGGATGGCAGAGAGTGGGAGGAGGCCAGACGTCATTCAGGACCATTTCTGGGAGAAAGGGGGCATTCCTGAGGTTCTATACTCAGCAGTAGAAGTAGCGGACCCTCCTTCACCAGTTTCTAAAAAGGCTGCACCTTGAAATAGGTAAAAATCCATGGACTGCATTTCGAGTGGTTTGGGCGGTAGGGAAAATTAGGTGGCCTCCTCCAAGGAGGCCGGGAAAATCTAGGCTCGGGACGCCCAAACCAAGCTGCTTCTCCGCGACCGGACGATCACCCCTGCTCCTCCTGCTCGGCGAAGAAGGTCTCCAGTTCCATTAGTTTCTGTATCAAAAGAGCATCCAGCTCTCGACTCTGCAGGGCCGCCTTCCGGGCCCTGGTAAAGCTGCCTGCCACCTTGACCTTACCACGAGCTCTCCTCTTTCGTGGGGCCGTGAAATCCTGGAATTCTAGAACTCGCTTCCTCTTCTGGTGACTGATAGAGATGAGCGCGCCATTTCGCTCCTTGGGTTCCTCGAAAATGGTTTCCAGACATCTAAGGGCGGAGCGCATAACAGAATCACCGACACGCTGAATCCCGGGGCCCGTTCCCAGGGCCGCCAGCCCTTCTGGTCAGCAGGGGCGGAGAGCTACTCGCACTGACATTTCTGCTCAAGTGTTTCCTCTGAGCGGCATTTATTTTTTGGTTTGAAAAACATATTTATGAAAATGTACCACAAGAACATAGTGAAAAAATTCAAACTGGATGAAAGGGTAAAGATGAAAAGTAAGATCAACCCCCATAAGCAACACCAACAAGTTTTTTGGGTATCCCCCCAAAAGTCATTCAACATAGAGATATGCATAAGAATATATTATCAGAGGTCAGCCCTTTTGTGCAAAGAGACAGATAGTATACCTTTAAATGTTAATTAGCTATGTGGGTCTCTATTACATATTCATTTTTGTTTTTAGACAACCCTTTAAAAATACAGAAACCACTGTTGGCTCACAGGCCATAAAAAAAAAAAAAAAAGAACGAACGAAAGAAAAAAGGGAAAGAAAACAGGCCACTAGCTGAACTTGGCCTATAGTTTGCTGGCCTGTGGTGTATGTCCTCCACTTTTTTTTTCCTTACTCAAATGGTAGCAAACTACATACACTGTCCAATGTACTGCACCTCTCTGACCTATCAATGACCTTTAAGACTGTTCCAATTTGGAACATCTGATTCATTCTTTTTAATGGCTACACAGTGTACTCCACTATAAGGGTGAATCACACTTTGATCAGAACCCTATTAATGGACATTTTAAGTTGTTTCCAATCCTTTCCTATTATTTAGCAATACTTCAATTAATAGTCTTACATAAATGCCTTAGAGTTCATCTTATAGGATAAAATCCTAGAACTCTCTTGATATTTTGTAGACACAACAGGAACTTAATTAATGTTCAATGACTTGAACTGAATTCGGACCCAAAGGTAGCCAAGTGAAACTCTTTCTGTATTTAGGTTTGGAATCATCTGAAGATCAATGGTTATTGGTCGTGAAGCATATTTGCTAAAAATACACAAACTGGAAGGAGATTACATTTTTTCTATCTACCTAACCCAACCCACAGTGTTGGGAACTAAAAATACCAATTCTAGTTATTTTCAAGAACTGAACATAAAACCTTTCTGAAGTGCAAGGATTGGAAGTTTGCATGGACCATTCCAGAAGCCCTCCCACTCTATTTCCTTTATATATTATAGACATATGCACACATAGACTTACCTGTTTGCAGGAGGAGACTTATAATTCTTATTGGTATATATTTCTTCTAAACTAAATTCCTTTTTCTTTAACCTGAAAAGAGATCAAAATAAATTCTGCATACTTCCTTTAAGAGAGGTAAGACCGGCTTCCCAACTCAATCCTTCCCACTTGTTTTCTTTCAACCTTTCTGTAATGAGTTTCAGTTGTGTCTCACATGAACATGTACTGGATTTTCTTTTCCAGGCTGCCAATCTTTATAAAATTTAGCCCATTTTTATTTATTAGGAATGCTATAACTGTATTTATATCAATTGTCTTTTTTTATAGCTTTTCTTTTTCTGCCCCCCTTTTCAGTGTTCCTTTTCATCTCCTTCAATGACTGTTCACTCTCTTCTAACCCCCTCGAAATTACACACTCTTCTATTCTTTTACTGGTTGTCAAGAATTTTAATGAGAATACTTAAATTAGAAACTGAAGTGCATCAGGGTGTTTACCTTTCTCCTGAATAATCTGACCATTACCATCCCAGTATATGTATTTAGTGTTCTATCTACTTTGCCTTACTTTGCAATTTATTTGTTGAAGAAACCAGCTCATTTGGCCTGTGTTTTCCCAAGTCTAGATTTTCTTGATTACATCCACATGGTATCACTTAACCTGTTCTTCTGACCCAGATATATGGGAAATACTATACACAAATCCTGTAGATTGACAATTAGATATAGAGGCATAATCATATTTAGGCGATTTTGGGTTTTTTGATAGGAAGATTTTTAGATGGTGGTACATACTTCATCCTGGGGCATGATATTTATTGTCACCCTTTTTGTGATAGTAACAGCCACCAATGAACACTGACAATAGTTATTATCTCTTTAAGGTCATACAGAGTGCAGCCTATCATTCCTTCTTTATTCATTTGGTAGATTCTTCTATCCAAATAGAAATTGCATGCTCAGTGGTTATTTGGTAACCTCACAGTACAGTTTGCGTAGGAAAAGCAGGTCAGATACTTGGTTCTTTCAGTATATTTATCAATTTCCAAAACCATTAGTTGGTTCCCTAACATTGTCCAAATATGGCCAATGAGTTTTTAAAGTATCGTTATAAACTACTGGATATTGACGTATCTGACGTGCTTCAATCTGCTGCAGTTATTGTTCCTTTGATGCTCGGATTGTTTCTCCTGTGGTCACTGGGAGTTCCAACATCCCTCTGACATGACCCTAGCAGTCTTTGAGAGTTTAATCACTTTCTGGTATGACAACACACTCTACTCTGAGCTTGTATACCTCCTAACTGGACCTGTAATCAGTCTTCAAGGAGTCTTGGTTCATATACCATGAAATTCACCTTTTTTTTTTTTCAGTTGAGTGTATTCAATTTGTATATTGTTAATTGTTGCTATTATGTAGCAGGTAATAGCTTCAACCCACAGGTCACCAACTCTTATCTCTCTTATCTTAGAAGAAACTTATTTTCAGAGGATATAATAACTTTTATATTAACTATTAATAGTAATAATAGCAATAACTATTATAAAAGAGCAAATCATTACAAAGTTTCTGTACCTTAAACCTGTTTCAGATGAGAAAAAGAGAACTGCTGAACATGGCAATGAACATTTTAGCATAACGTTTTAGTATCTTCCTTTCAGAAAATCATAACAGGCTTAGTTTGGTTCAATTCCAATTAAGCAAAGAACATGCTTGTGGAAAATAAATAACATCATAAATATGATTTTTCTTTTTCTTAACTGAAATATTATTGATATACAATCTTATATTGGTTTTAAGTATACATCACAGTGGTTCAACAGTTAACCATATTATTAAATCCTCATCCCCACTAGTGTAGCTACCATCTGTCAACATATAGAAGATGTTACAGAATCACTGGCTATATTCTCCATGTTGCACTTTCATCCCAATGACCAACAAATACCATGAATGAGAATTTTTGTGCCCTTTTATTTCCCTCCCCCTTCCTACCCATCCACCCAAACTCCTCCCCCATGGTAACCAACAGTCACTTCTCAGTGTCTACAAGGCTACTGATACTTTGTTAATTTTATTTTGTTTTAGATTCCACAAATCTACTCTGTCTTTTTCTGCATGGCTTATTTCATTTAGCATAATACCCTCTTCAGTCCTTTGATGTTGTTGCAAATGGCAGGATTTTTCTTTTTGGTGGCTGAATAATATTTTACTGTGTTTATGTACCGTGTGTTCTTTAACCATTCACCTACTAATGGACACTTACGTTGCATCCATATATAGGGTATTACTGTAAATAAGGTGGCAATAAACATAGGGGTGCATTTATCTTTTCAAATCAGGATTTTGTGTTTTCTTTGGCTAAATTCCTAGAAGTGGAATTACTGAATCGTATGGTATTTCTATTTTTAGATTCTTGAAGGACGTCCATACTGCTTTTCACAGTGGCTGCACCAATTTACATTCCCACCAAAGGTATAGGAGGGTTTCCTTTTCTCTACAACTTCACCAACATTTGTTATTTCTTGTCTTTTGGATAGTGGCCATTCTAATTGGTGTGAGGTGATAGATATCCTACTATAGTTTTGACATACATTTCCCTGATAATTAGCAAAGTGGAGCCTCTTTTCAACGTGCCTGTTAGCAATCTGTATTTCTTCTTTGGAAGAATGTCTGTTCAGGTCCTCTGTGGATTTTTAATCAGGTTATTTGTTTTCTGGGTGTTGAGGTGTATGAGTTCTTTATATATTTTGGATGTTAACCCCTTATCGGATAAATCATTTATGAATATATTCTTCCATACCATATGTTGTCTTTTTTGTTCTGCTGATGGTGTACTTTGCTGTAAAGAAGCTTTTTCATTTGATGTAGTCCTGCTTGTGTACTTCCGATTTGCCCAAGATGTGTCCAAGAAAAAATTGCTCATGATCATGTTCAAGAGATTTTCACCTATGTTTTCTTCTAAGAGTTTTATGGTTTCATGTCTTACATTTAGATCTTTAATCCAATTTGAGTTTACTTTTGTGTTTGGAGTTAGACTGTAACCCAGTTTTATCCTCTTGCATATTGCTGTCCAGTTTTCCCGACACCAGTTATTGAACAGACTGTCTTTTTGCCACTGTATATCCATGGCTCCCTTACTATCTATTAACTGACCATATATGTGGGTTTATATCCAGGGACTCTATTCTGTTCCATTGATCTATGGGTCTGTTCTTGTGCCAATACAATACTGTTTTCATTATTGTCGCTTTGTAGCATAGCTTGCAATCAGTAAGCATAATTCCCCCCAGCTTTGTTCTTCTTCAGGATTGTTTTGGCTATTCAGGGTCTTTTGTGGTTCCATATGAATTTTTAGGATTATTTGCTCAAGTTCATTGAAAAATGCCTTTGGCATTTTGATAGGGATTGCACTGGATCTATAAATTGCTTTGGGCAGGATGGCCACTTTGACTATAAATTCTTCCTATCCATGAACATGGGCAAGATTTCCATTTATTTGTGTCTTTAATTTCTCTCATGAATGTCTTATAGTTTTCAGAGTACAGGTCTTTCATCTCCTTGGTTAGGTTTATTCCTAGGTACTTTACTCTTTTTGATGCAACTGTAAATGGAATTGTTTTCCTGATTTCTCTTTCTGCTAGTTCATTGTTAGTATATAGGAACTCAACAGATTTCTGTATATATAATGTGGTACCCTGAAACTTTGCTGAATCCAGTTATTAGTTCTAATAGTTTTTTTGTGTAGTCTTTAGGGTTTTCTATATATGATATAATGTCATCTACAAATGTGACAGTTTAACTTCTTCCTTACCTACTTGGATGCTTTTTAACTCTTTACCTTGTCTGACTGCTGTGGCTCAGACCTTCAGTACTATGTTGAATGAAAGTGGTGAGAGTGGACATTCTTGTTTTGTTCCTGATCTTAGAAGAAAACCTTTCAGCTTTTCACTACAGTATGTTAGCTGTGGGTTTGTCCTATACGGTCTTTATTATGTTGAGGCATAGATATAATTTTTCACAGTGACTTAGCACTGGTATTCCAACAAATGGCTACTTTGTTTTGAAAATAGCAATAGCTCCATTTGATTAAGGATGTTACATGGGCAATCAGAAAGTGAAGGATTAGGCTCCCTGACAGTCATTCTGACTTTCAAATCAGGGCAGTATTCATGTCTATCTTCTAGGTGGTTGGTGAGCAAAGCTTGGATTCTGGAATTCCTGGGCTCTCTACAAATTTTGCTTTCCTCAGAGAGGCTTCACTCACTGGAAGAGGTGGGACAGGGTAATCTGCCTCAAAAGCACTGACACTTTTTCTGTGGAGATGCCATGTTGCCCAGAATGGCTCTGATGAATCTACATGTGAGTGTCTTCCACCTGGTGGTTCCTTGCTCCCTGCATCACTTTATCTGCTTTTATGACTTTATTTCCCTCCCTCCTTCCCTTCCGTCCTTCCTTCCCTCCCTCCCTCCCTCCCTTCCTTCTTTCCCAGGTCCTGGCAACCACTGATTCTTTTATTGTCTCTATAGTTCTGCATTTTCCAGATGTCATATAGTTGGAATCATACAGTGTGTATCTTATTCAGATTGGATTCTTTCACTTACTAATATGCACTGAAGGTTTCTCCATGTTGTTTCATGGTTTGATAGCTTATTTCTTTTTAGCACTGAATAGTAGTCCATTTTCTGGATGTACCATAGTTAATCTATTCACCAACTGAAGGACATCTTGGTTGCTTCCGAGTTTTGGCAATTTTAAATAAAGCTGCTATAAACATTCATGTTCAAGCTTTTGTATGGACATAACTTTTCAACTTATGAGTAAATACCAGGAGTATTACTGCTGGATTGCATTGTAAAAGTATATTTAATTTTTTGAGAAACTGCCAAACTGTCTTCCAAAGTGGCTATGCCATTTTGCAATTCCATCAGCAGTGTATGAGAGTTACTGTGGCTGTACATCCTTACTAGCATCTGATGTAGTGTGTTCTGGGTTTGGGTCATTCTAATAGGTGTAGAGTGGTATCTAATTGTTGTTTTAGTTTGCAATTCCCTAATGACGTATGATATGGAATATCCTTTCATATTCTTTCCATCTTACGTGTCACCTGAGTCTTTTTTAAATCAGGCGCTCATTTCTTATTACTAAGTTTTTAGAGTCCTTTGTGTATTTTGAATAGTCCTTAACGTCTTTTGCATCTATTTTCTACCATTCTGTGGCTTTTCGCATTCTTTTGATGAGTTATCTTTCTTTCTTGAGGGTGTTCTTTGATGAACAAAAGTTTTAATTTTGATGAAGTCCAATTTATCCATTTTTCTTCTGTTGCTCATGCTTTTGGTGTTATTTCCAAGAAACCATTGACTCATCCAATATCATACAGATTCACACCCATGTTTTCTCCTAAGCCTTTTATAATTTTAGCTCTTACATCTCTCCTAGGTCTTTGATCCACTGAGTTATTTTTTGTATACAGATATCCAGTTTTGCATGTGGGTATCCAGTTGTCTCAGTACCATTTTCTTTAAAGACTCTTTCTTCCCTACTGAGTGGTCTTGACACATTCGTTGAAAATCAATTGACCTTAAATGTGTCAGGTTATTTCTAGACTCTCAATTCCATTATATCAATTTATATGTCAGTCCTTTTGAGATTACCACACTGTCTTGATTACTGTAGTTTTGTAGTAAGTTTGTGTGTATTTTTGTATTGTGGTAAAATGTACAAAACAAAATTTACCATCTTAACTGTTTTTAACTATGCATGTATTAAGTTTTGAAATGGGTTAGTGTGAGTCTTCTACTTTGTTCCTTTTTCAAGATGGCTTTGGTTATTCTGGGTCACTTGTATTTCCATATGAATTTTAGGACCAGCCTGTCAATTTCTGCAAAAAAGGCAATTGACATTTTAAATGAGATTGCAGTGAATCTGTACATTACTTTGGGTATATTGATTTCTTGAGTCTCCCAATCTATGAACTGTCTTTCCACTTATTCATGTCTTTGATTTCGTTCAACAATATTTTGTAGTTTTTGTGAAGAGGACTTGCACTTCCTTTGTTAATGCATTTAATTGTACACAATGTTTTCTCCAAGTTTTTCTCAATTCTCATTAATAGTCTGTTATCTGCTTTGTTTTGTGTTTTAAATATAACTGAAACATTCACTGGGACTACCAAACATTTGACAATGAAGTATGGAGTACCAAACATTTGAAGATGAAATGTATAAAATCCACAGACAAAAATTTGAAGGAATTTCCTTCAGTTAAGGTATGAACTTTTATCAAATTAGATAAAGAAATATTTAATTCAATATTCAATCCTCATCTTATAAAATGTTCTTTTACCTCCTGATAACAAATGAAAAGTATACGACAAGCTGCCATGCCAGCTGGTTTGCTGTAACACATTTCTCTCTTACATTAAACAAATTATATAAATAATGAGATTTATATACATTAATGGATTTACTTCTGAGTTTTTACATGATTCTTAATTGTTCCTTGAAGTCTAATAACAGTTTGACTCATGCAGACATACACACCTACTGAAGCAATAACATACTTTCCACCACACTCCTTACTTCATAATTATTTTTTGCAGTGCTTCAGTAGTGAGAAATAGCACTGTCATTTGTTTTAATAATGCATTAAAAATGTATAATAGCCAAGATATGGAAGCAATCTAAATGTCCATCAGTAGATGAATGGAATAAGAAGATGTGGTACATATACACAATGGAATATTACTCAGCCACAAGAAAAAAACAGATCCTACCATTTGCAACAACATGGATGGAGCTAGAGGGTATTATGCTCAGTGAAATAAGCCAGGCAGAGAAAGACAAGTACTAAATGATTTCACTCATCTGTGGAGCATAAGAACAAAGGAAAACTGAAAGAACAGAACAGCAGCAGAATCAAAGAACCCAAGAATGGACTAATAGTTACCAAAGGGAAAGGGACTGGGGAGGATGGGTGGGAAGGGAGGGACAAGGGTGGGGAAAAAGAAAGGAGGCATTACGATTAGCATGTATAGCATGTGGGGGGCACAGGGAGGGCTGCGCAACACAAAGAAGACAAGTAGTGATTTTACAGCATCTTACTGCGCTGATGGACAGTGACTGTGAAGGGGTATGTGGGGGGGACTTGGTGAAGGGGGGACTCTAGTAACCATAATGTTCTTCATGTAATTGTAGATTAATGATACCAAAAAAAAAAGTATAAATAAGTTATATTTCTTATATATGATTTTAATTTTGACTTAGTTGTATTCCACAATTTATTTCTCAATGGTTTGCATAATTCTCTTAAAGGTCCAATTAACACATTTACTTGCCCTGGAAGACAGAAAAATTAGGAAGTAAGAATGATCTGGCTGATAGGCTTGAATAATAAAAGTTGCCTTTGCTAATTAAGGATTTTTCATAAATTTAATGCACTAAAAACTTCAAGGTTTTCCAATAAAAAAGTATTTGGGTAAAAGCATTTTATCAAAGGATATCTTAGGCACAGGTTTATTTAAATAATCTTATTTTTTCAACCCTTTCATTATATTGGATTAAATAAAGTACCTGTAAGTGAAAGAGTAACATGTAGATTATTAGGCATTTGACACTGGCCAGGGCTTTTTGGTGTATCTCCCACACACTGAGACACCAGACACTTAGTGCCTCCAGTGCTTGGGTAATAGAACCTTTGTGAGTCAGGGCTTTTTCATCCTCTGCTTTCAAAAATATTAATGGTTAAGTCATTAAATATAACTTGATATTAGGTCACACTGTGATTTTTTGGCATATTACTTGATACACATTGTAAGGATTAAATGTCATTACTATAGTAAAACTCTCTCCATTTCCATCTATTGTTTATATAAACAAGGTTTTTCAGAACTTATATCTACATGTAAATGCAAGAAAGAATACACCCGATTCTGAACCCTTACCTCATTCTGGTAATAAGTACTATTCAACATAGAACATCTTAAATATTCTAAAAATTTCTCTTGAAAAGACATATGGTAGGATGATTAATAAAGGAATAGTGAAATAAAATACATTAATATAAAACCAAGGGGGAAAGTGGAACATGATTTCTAAGTATAATAATTAACTATTACATCTGTGCTGTACGAAGCAATATCATAAATACCATATACATTTTTTTCTCCATTGGACTGTACAGCAATCTTAAGTGTTGGGAATTCTTATCCACATTTTACTGATATGTCCTTAAAGTTAAGGAAGGTTAAATAACTTACCTTGGGTTACTTAAGGGACCACTATTAGGCTTCCATATGCCACTGAGAAATGAAGGACTAAAATCCACCACAAGCAAATGTAACTCTAGAGAGCTTATAAAAAATGTTTATATTTCATAGGGTGTCTGTGTAATCATGCCAAATGCATAATTTGCTAATCTGTTTTTTCTTTCCACTTTACGTTATAGGGTTAGCAATTGTTTCTGTCATAAAAACAAATCTTCAGAAACCAAATTTTTAAAGGCTATAATATAGACCATAACATGGATCTGACACTTTCTGGAAAAAAAAAACAAAACTTCTTTCCCTCATGCCATTTAGGTTCCTTTCCAGTTTTGTGCACCGAATGTGGTGAGCATGGGCTGTGGGGTCAGGTTAAAACTTGTCGGGGACAGAAACCATCTGTGGCACAACCAACACCAAAGGCCTAACACAGATTTCTTAACCACTGAGCCCTGGCATCCTCACCTGAACCTGGGGCGGACGAGGTTCATCCCTGGGGGACCCCCGGAGGTCATGAACACAAAGGGACAGCACAATGCCTGGACAGTAAGCTCAATAAACGGGACCAAGGGTACATTAAAGTATCTCTGCTCATAAATCTCTGGCCACATTACTGATTAATTCTTTTGGAAAAATTTCTAGAAGTGTAACAAATAGCTCAGAATATATGACCACTAAAAGGTTGTTATGGTCTGCTAGACAATTTTCCAAAAAGGGAACTATGTGTTTTAGAGAAGGAGCTCACCTTTTGGGTCGAGGAAGGCCCATGGGGGTAAGATTAGGATCTGGCTTAGGAATGGTTTTCCGGATGCGAATCTGTGAGACTTTCTTTGGCCTCTTCTTGGGCTCAGCCTATTTTTAAGAGTTAAGAAGAAAGATACAAGTTGTAAAACATTTACAATATATAAAGTCCCTTTTCTTGACACTCAAAATATTGCCTCCTCAGACACTGGTAAGTAGTCCATGGCAAAGCCCCCCCTCCTATTCCTGCCAACGGCATTCTCAGCAACTATCCTCCTTCATATTATTAAAAGAGAATTGTATATTCAGTTTACATATTTAGATTATTAGTATGAATGTCTAAAGGCAGGAGACATTGCAAAACAGAAAAAAAGGATCTGGAAATTAGGAGATCCAGAGTATCCTCCAGTGATCAAGTCAAAAAACTGTCTTGGTAATCTCTAACACTCAGCTGGAGAAGCTACTAAAGGCAATAGGCAAAGACACTCAGGAGCCCATCTGTACCTATCACGTACTCTGTAGTCATTGATGGACACATCCACTGCCACCATCACCCGAGCCTGCCACCATACACTTACCTCTTTCTGTTCTGGAGGGCTGCTCTGTGGATGGGGGCACACTGCGGTCACACCATCCAGCTCATCAAATCCAGGAGCCTGGAACTCAGAGGCTGAAAGCAGGAGCTTGCTGACAGCTGAGTCTGTTACCAAGCAAGACTTTGGTACCAAGGCAGGGAATGGAGGCTCTAGCCTGGCACCATGGAGAGAAAAACAGAAGAAAAATATGAGACAAGTTCACTTTCTACTTTGACACAGTCAACTTCTCAGCATTCACACTAAGGTTGAAGATTTTCCCCTTTTCCAGCAATGACGTTTCCAGTCAATCTGTTCTCTAGTCACTTCTGGACACAGCCTGTGCCTACATAGGTAAAAAACTAAAGAACGCAGTCAATCCACTTCATGTGTTGGAGCAGTTTTATAAGGAAAGATGTAAAAAGGAACAGACTTTTTAGGCGAAGAAGACATTTAGTGAACTAAACAAATGAGATCAATTCCATCCAGGCACTGCAGTTGGCTGAATGGCCAAGAAATAGCTTGGCAGGGGACTCGTGCTACAGTGAGCTGCCTATGGATTTTCACTCTTCCAGTAAATGGTGCTGATTACACATCCTTAGTTGCCACTTGTCATAAAACACATCTGAATCTCACATCAAGTTTAGAAGGTCGGAACAGTGCCTCACCCATGCCATGTACTCGTGCACCCTCTTAGGGGCTCACGCGCACTTGCTCTCTGTCCACACACACACAAACACACTCTCTCTCTCTCTGCAAGCCGTCATGCGCCAGGCGCCACTGGTGGCTCACCTCATCTGACTGCCGCTGGTGTTGTACGTAGCTTCCAAGCCTGGAAGAGGCACATACGGTAACGCGGGGCGGCTGAAGGGAAGCAAGAGCACAAAAGCAATAGGTGAGGGCAGTGGAACAACAGAAGGCGCTGATACCACTGCAGGTACATGATACTCAAGAGCCCTGGGAAGAGAAGAAATGCCAGTCATGCAGAAAGGGGAAAACCCCCCAGTCATGAGGATTACAGTTAGGTGCCCTTCACTGAGTGAAGGCGGGTTGACAGAAGATTTTTCTGACTTAAATGGAATGAAGGTGGAGGGAGAAAGAGAGGACAGTAAGATAAAGTAGAGGGACAGGAATGATTTTGAGATTATACCTTCTAATCAAATTGTTAGGCATGTATGTCAAAGATTTAAAAATAATTTACAAAAAAAGTATATTATTCATCTCCACATTAACTGTTAAAATAAAATCTGTCAAATTATGTAACTGTACAAGATAGTAAGAAGAAACCTTATTTTTTTCAAAGCCAAGTTCCAAGTAAAACATGGTTATGCAGAAAACTTAATGGGGTAGGCTCCTTAATGATTAAGTTTTCATTTTTATAAATGGAACAATAATATTAATCACTTACAGATACATTAATCTGTGGTGGAGAGCTCTTTTTGCCTCTCAAAGTCAAACCTGTATCGGCCTTCTACTGCATTGGGAACAGAGTATGGGTTTAGTAAGGCTTGTGTATGATGACCATACCATCCACCTCCTTTTAGAAGAGAAATTTGTTCACCAGCTAAGAAAAACACAAATAATTCAGATTTTCCCAATGCTTAACACTAACTCTGGACCCCCTGAGGAGTACTAATAAAAGGAAAGAGAGGAAGGGTGGAATATTGGAGGAGGAGCTGACCAAATCAGACATCAGGAGACCTCGGTTCTATGCCTGGCTCAGCTGAAATACTAACCAGCTGAGTGATCGAGGTTACAAAAAGCCATGTGCCTCAGGTTCAAAATCTCTAAGAAAGGCAAAAAAGATGCCCGTTCAAACTAAATTATACAGTGATAAAGGTTCAAATCAGAAAAGCCTATGGAAACATAAGTTAATTTAATCTTCGTTAAGCCTTGCTTTTGGGGCTACCCGATTTATCATGTGTCACATTTATAAGTGTGTTTAGAAAAACAGCAAACTTTCACACTCAAAGGCAAGGCATGTGATGTTAGAAGAAGTCCCTACAAACACTACCCCTCCACTTCCCACTGAATTAAAATAAAACAAAAAAAAAATTAAAAGCCAGACATAGGAAGTAAGGGAGAGAGAAACTATTCCACACCAGGAAAACAGAAAAGTCAGGTAGGAAAAGAGCTGTGCAAGAAGAAAAAGAATCCAAAGGACCACACACCTTCCCAGGGTGCAGTGAGTCACTACCCTCCCCGCTCACCTCAGTAAGGAGCAGAGGTTAAAGGACGGAACACTTTTTAAAGCTGTGTGCTGCGGACACAGGACAGAGAGCAGTTATGAGGCTGCACAGGCAACGAAGCAGACAAAGCAAGGGTGGTACACCATCACTTGGAACAGCTGGGGTCATTCTACTGCATTTTTATGGCTGCATTACATGAAGCGAACATTTTCCTATTAACTACAGGACAAGTGTTGATAATAGTAATTCATCTTTGATGTTAATCAGTCAAGCTCAGGTTCTAGTGTTTTTCTAAGACCCTTAACAAAAAAAAATCTCATTTCCTGCTAAGATGGGGGAACTTCACAATATGCACCAGCAGCTTTTTAATGACGGAATAATTATGCATAAGGAAATGCCCAGATACACGGAGAGCACGGCCTCTCCCAGGCTTTTTGGAATTCTAAGGCTTTGTTGTTGCTGATGAATTTTTAAACTAGTAGCAATGGTAAGCATAACCTAAACATTTTAAATTTCTCTTTATATAAAGGATTATAAATAGGAGGATTTATCTATATGTCTAAAACATATCTTTAGGGATATAACTCTCAAATTATTTCTCTTCTCTTACTTTCAATTAGAGGGTAAAATGGTATTAGTGAAATTATGTTCAACTATTCTCAGTGGTCAAATCACAAGAACTCCTTTCCAGTTCACTTAAAATTATATAAATTCTACAAATATCACACATAAATACCAATTTTTGAAGCCTCTCTACTCCAGAGATAAATGCAGAGGTTCCTAAACTAGATTTGGTGACACCTGCAAAATTGGTTTATTTATTTAAAAAGCATTTATTCTTCATACACCAAACATGGAGTTCTGTGCAGGCTGTATATTTTGTGAACAAGATAGAGTTACAAGCCATTATTTGTCACTGCGTAAAAGTATATAATGGTGTTTGCTCTCTGCAAGGGTAGGGGCAAGGGAAGAAGATTCTGAAGACTGGATGGTTTCTAGAATAAAGCAGACAGGATGAAGAATGGTAAAGACTCCAGGACCAAAGAGTGCAGAAAAATTAGGACAGGCTTCACTTAGGACTCACTGGTACATCTTCACAGCAGAGGTATGGCAGGGTCATAAGCAGAAAATGCAGACACGAGGGTCCCCAACAGCGCTGCACTCCCCCATGCCTCGCTAGAAGCAAACACGGGACATTTGCCCAGCACAAGGGATGGATTTTACCTGCTCGTGGAGCCCAGAGTTGGCTGCCGCTTGCTGTGGGTGGAATGAAGAGCAGAGATGTCGAAGGGGCAGGCAGAAGGCCCATGCTGGCTCCAAATGGACAGCACTCGGCCCACCGAGTAGGGCAGAGAACAGAAGACCTTGTCTGCTGTGGAGGCTGGAGACCTTAACCCTTTCAAGCCCTGTGTAAACTGGGTCATGAAGAGCCTCTGCATGGTAGGCATGTGGCTGGAGAAACTCCGTTTTTTTGTCCAGATTCGGTAACATCCAGGGGAACAAAGTGCTAGGAGCGTGTGAAGGCCAAGGACAGAGCACCCTGCTCTGGTCTGGACCATGGCGGAGCCTCCAAAGTCTCGGAGAGGAACTGGAGGCTGTGGGGGAGCCTGGGCATGTGCCTGACCATGGAGGCCACTGTCTTCCCTGAATGTGGCCATCCCCGGGCAACCGTGGGATAAGAAGAAAGAGAAGGTCCACTTGGGAGGTTGAGACAGGCACCGGGGGGGCTCTCCTAAGGCTAGCCTTGCTGGAGCACAGTGCTCAGGAAAAGTTCTGGGGTACTCGGACATGCACTCGGAGGCCGACTTCATGTCAAAGGACACCGGAAAGATTTTGGAATCAAACAGCAGTGACGGCATGTTGTTACTCAAATCTAGGAAGCGCGTTTTGATGGCTTCGAGTGAATAAAGTGTCAAGGGCTTACTGTTAGGCCTCGTATCCCATCTGCTAGCTGCCAAGTGTGGATTCAGCTGCAGTGTATTGTATGAAAACCCGTCCAGGAGCCTTTTATATCTGAGCAGCTTGTAGCTTTTAGCCACTGGAAGAAGTGCGGAGGAACGCTGCCGGTATCTTGGTTTCTGGGTCTTTGAGGCTGGGGCCAGTTTGGAGGCAAGGACGGACAGCTTGTTCAGTAAGGCTGAGTCTTTGGTAGGCTTCCTAACATTCAGGCTGCTCCAGGGATGGCACAGAGTTGCCTCCTGCTTTGGTATGGGGCTCACTAAGCTCTTGGCAGTTACTGTTTCAGGTTCCAGGCATGTAGGTGCAGACACAGCACGCGAGCTGAGAAATCGGTGTGCTTTTGTAGGGATGGCTTCAGAGGAACTCTTTAAAAAGGCAGAACTTCTGATTTTACTCATTTTTCTCCCCATATTGACTTGCTCCTGACAGGAAACTTTCTTGCATGTTCTACGGGGCTGCTTTTTTAAGGGAAGTACTCCTCTCTGGTGTGAAGTGTTCCCAAAGGCACCGTGAAGTTTGTCACCCTCAGCAGAGCTGGGGCCTTGTGCTGTCTGGGGAACACCACTAGGCCAAGGACCTATGTGCAACTCAAGGTCCCTTTTTAAGGGATGACACGAGCTTTCCTCTTTTGGATCTCTCCATTTCTGAAACTGTGCAGCAATGTCACGCCTGGCCATCTTTGCTAGGGGGATGTCTTTCATCATGGCGGACAGATCTCTGTAATCCTTCGGTTGGTTCTTATCTTGCACCTCATCTGGTAACCTGATAGATGATGGGCATCGTTCCAATATTACATGTGCCTCTTTCTGATGTGTATATTCCTTTTCCTTCTCCAACACGTAGTCCTCAACCCTCTGGCTCTGGTGTCCTTCGGCATCACCAAGCCTCCTCTGGGACGTAGAGTGGGGCTGGGAAATCTCACTCACATTATCAGCATGACCATCCTCTCCAGGAACCATCTCAGACTCCTCCCCAACAGTTAAGTGGCCCAGCGGTCCCCTCTGGTGTTCCCTGGTTTCTTCTCCTGCTTTAGTTTTGGCTTCCATTGTCAGAGGCAGATTGTTCACCCTGGTGTCTCGGCTGCTTCCTTCACTAGGGTCACTCATACCCCCTGGTGCTCCTTCCTTCGCCTGAGGCAGTATTGTGCAGTCCTTTACATGTTCACAAAGCATCTCACCATCTTTTGGTCCAAGAAAATTTTTCAGGTGAGGCTCTTCACTATTCATATTAGTTCCTGAATTTTTTTTAGGAGATGGACTCAAAGGCATTATCTCAACGGATTTCAGGCTCCCTAAGGGAACAGAGCTGTCAACTTGGCATCTAGAAGACATCAACTCTTTCGAGCAAATTCCAAAGGTATTTTCCCCGTCAAACTCAGAATTTATTTCTTGTCTCAGCCCTTCAATCATTCCCTGCATTTCTCTAGGAGCCGCTTCTTTAATGCGCTGTGCATGATGAATACGATTTAAAGACACATTTATTCCATCCAATATTTTTGCATTTGGCTCATGAACTGCAACAGACTCTATCTCATGGGTACTGGAGTCTGGACACACTTCCATTTCACAGTCTTTTAAGGATCTGCGTACTTTCTCCTCACGTGATTTTTTTATTTCAAGAGATTCCGCTGTAGAAGCAGCAGCATCTGGGAAATCTGAATCCTGGTCGATCATCCCTACAAAGGCAGCGTTCGGTTCTCTGTTCTGAGTCGGGGTGGTGCTCACCGCGGTTGCCTGTGATGCCAGCCTACCTCGCTCGGCACCATGATCAAGTGTGCCAGATGCTCTTACATCCGGCACACCATCCTTAGGTCTATTACTGCAGTCTGCGCACATGAGGTCTAGCCTGCCATCTGGGGACGCCTCACAACCAGAAATACTTTCAAAGGCTCTTTTCAAATTGCCTTTCTTTGAACTATCGCCAGGCGGTGAGTTATTGCCTGAACTGATGAACAGATCCTTTGGGTTGTGGCTCAGCTCTCTGTGAGGCTCTGTGACAGTCTCTCTCTGATCACCACCCACTGTTTCCTTAGCTGCTTTCTCTTCCCTTCTGTGTTCATCTGGTCTGTTTTGGTAGCTCTGACAGTCAAGGACTTTATCTGCCTTCTGACCAAGAGTTTCAACTGCTTGGTTCATGTTTTTAAAACTGGAGAACATACTAGTAGGAGACTGGTTCGGCGATTTTTCAGTTGGAATGTTTGCAGATAGGTTTGGTTCTTGTGCGGTACAGTTAGAGACGTCAGCCTCACAAAACACAGACTCTCTGGGCATATCCCGTTCCTTTCTTTGTGACCCTTCCTCACTGGGTTGGACGTGACTGGTGGTGGGAATGTTTTTGTTTGAAGCCTCCCTACTTAACATACTTGCTGTTGTTTTGTTTCTGACCTTACCTCCTGCAGGGCTGCCTTCAGTTTCTCTCCCATTAAGTTCACATTCCTCCAATGTACAGCTCACTTTATCAGAGCTACTTTCTACGGGGTCTCCTCTTCCTAGAGAATGGTGATCGTCCTGCTGAAATGCATTCACACACTTGGTTATCAAAGAGTTTTCAGCTTCCAGGATGACTGTGCTGGACCCAGCAGCAGCACAGAGAGAACACATGCTTGTTCCTGGCATGTTTTCTTTTGCACAGGGACAGCCAGAGAGACCCTGAGATTGAACACTTGGACATTCCATAGCAGAGATCTCCTGAGACAAGCCTGCTGCTGCTTTCCTACTGGAGACAGGTCTGGAATGTAGATCTTCTGTTCCTGAATCTGCCACTTCGTTTTTTCTTTCTAGGCTTCCTGATTTGATGTTTAAGGTAGAATTGTTTGAAGAGGCACCACAGGCTTTATCACCTGATAGACAGATGTCTTTCCTTTTTGTCTCCCTGGGAATGGTTCGGGTGCCAGCAATGATATCTGCTCCATCCTCTAGCGGAGGGTGATGGGTCTTATGAGAATCCTTGCTTGTTGCTAAAGGCATTTCTTTGTCAGTTGGCAACTTCGAGCAGTCTCGAGAATTAAGGGACACTTGATTTAAAACACATTCACTTTCTACTTTGCTTACAACTGGTTGATCAGTCCAAGGGAGTTCGGTCATCTCACAGGCAATGCTCTGTTCATCTAAGTGCGGACTACCATCCTGTGAGGTCTGTACAGCTTTTTCTGACTCAGGTCTGTGATCAAGTTCTAGGGAGGGTGGTAACTGAGTATTTTCTTTCTTGGGTTTTGATACCTCATTTATAGGACTTAACTGGTCCTCTGGTGTTAAACCTGCAAGGGATTTTCTTTCAATAAGAAATTCATTATGTGATGATTCATTTAGCTGAGAGTCACTTTCCAGATTTCTCTGGATGCTGACTAAGGAGTCTTTACTACAAATCTTCTCACTGAACATATTGGGCTCTACAGTGGTTGTCTGTTCTGGCTCCTCCACCTGCATTAAGGAGGAAAAATTGCTCTCTTCAGAGTGTCTGTTTGGATGGTTCATATTAGCAAAAGTTTCTTTATGGTCCTCATAGTTTGTTAAGCTACTTTGAACGTCTAAAGTGATTTTCAAATCATTTTTTTTAAACATTATTTCTGTGTCTTCAGTAAATGCATCAAGCGCTACAGAATCAGAGCTGCCTGTCTGGCTACTGCCTTGACCGCAACAGTGATCTTGGGTATTTTCTTTTGGGGAGGCAACAGTCTCCTCTTCACCAGAACAATGACGACTAGCATCCTCTTCTGGTAGCCTGGCATTACCAAGAAAGAGTCCCCCTCCTTCAGTCCTGGGGTTCAAAAACTGTTGTTCATTTTCTTCTCTAGAAGCCAAGTTCTTGCTTTGATCATCCCCATCAAGATGGGGACTACCTGTCTTTTTAGCAGGTCTCTTCAGCAAGTTATCGCCATCAAAACCACATTTTTCTAAGGACGCTGTTCTGGATTCTGGAGCAGATAAACTTGATGTGAAAAATGAAACTTCAGTATTTTCTTCTAAAGGTTCTAAAACCACCACACTTCCCATGGCTTTGGAACTGCCAGGTGTGGAACTGTGTTTTTCATGATGGTGGCCAAGAATCTGTTGGTGATTGTCATCTGCACCACAGACAAGGTTTAATTTACACAACTCCTCCTTCCCACTGTCCACTTTGGAAATGGCACTGTTCCCTGGTAAGAATGACAACCAAGAAGGACAAGTTTTTAATTCTTCACATTCTTTTTCTGTAGGAGTTGCTTCTGTTAATCCAGGGTCCACAAAGGTTAAAGGCTCTAGGGAAACTAATGTGCTGCTTTCTGAAACCTCACCACTGGTTATGATTTTGTCTACTTCTGGGTATTCGCTGCACCCAGCTGAGAGACATTTACTCACATTGCCATTCTTGTGTCCTTCATTATTATCGGCCTTAGTCCCATTGACCTTCATACCTTGTACCTCTTCAGTAGATTTTAACAGAGTTCCAGTTGTAATTTGTACATTCCCTTCTGCACAAGAGAAAGAAATCCAAATCAGTATGCCATCATTAAAAAAAAATCACTTGCTCTACCTCCATACATATAATCATGCAACCACAGCAACAATAAAAAAGACCCAACTCAGATCAGGAACAAGACAAGAATGCCCACTCTCCCCACTTTTATACAACATAGTACTGGAGGTCCTAGTCATGGCAATCAGACAACACAAACAAATAAAAGGCATCCAGATTGGTAAGGAAGAAACCAAACTGTCACTGTTTGCAGATGACATGATATTGTACATAAAAAACCCTAAAGAATCCACTCCAAAACTACTAGAACTAAAATCTGAATTCAGCAAAGTTATAGGATACAAAATTAATATACAGAATTCCGTTGCATTCCTATACATGAAAGATTAATTAGCATAAAGACAAACCAGGAAAACAATTCCATTCACAATTGCATCAGAGCTGTCTGTCTGGCTACTGCCTTGACTGCAATAGTGATCTTGGGTATTTTCTTTTGGGGAGGCAACAGTCTCTTTTTCACCAGAACAATGACCACTAGCATCCTCTTCTGGTTGCCTGGCAAAGAATAAAATACTTAGGAATAAACCTAACCAAGGAAGTGAAAGACCTATACCCTGAAAACTACAAGACACTCTTAAGAGAAATTAAAGAGGACACTAACAAATGGAAATTCATCCAATGCTCTTGGGTAGGAAGAATTATAATTGTCAAAATGGCCATCCCGCCTAAAGCAATCTACAGATTCAATACAATCCCTATCAAAATACCAACAGCATTCTTCAACGAACTGGAACAAATAGTTCTAAAATTCATATGGAACCACAAAAGAACCCCAAATAGCCAAAGCAATCCTGAGAAGGAAGAATAAAGCTGGGGGGATTACACTCCCTGACTTCAAGCTCTACTACAAAGCCACAGTAATCAAGACAATTTGGTACTGGCACGAGAACAGACCCATAGTCCAGATATTAACCCAAGCATATACGGTCAGCTAATATATGATAAAGGAGCCATGGACATACAATGGGGAAATGACAGCCTCTTCAACAGCTGCTGTTGGCA